TTTATGGGCTATCAGAAGACACTGTGAGGCACAATATCACACAAGTGTGCAAAGTGAGATCAAGAGCAGTGACATACACCTAAGAACCACCAACACTTAAATGGAAAAGAGGGAGCCAGTGCTCAGGAGGCTGGATATGAAGAGCAGGTAGAGGGGTTACCGGCAGCATAGAGATGAAGAGGATTATAGAGTGTGAGGAATGGAGACGCTAGCAAATGTTTGGTACCGATTACATACCGTCGGCTCTAGGTTAGATAGTGAAGAAAGTACAAAAAGGATAGATTAGTGCAGGGCTACCAGCTCTATTGAGAAAATTAAAAAGGGACATCTGGTTAAATCTGAATTTTTTTTTTTTTTAAGATTTTAATTTATTTGAGAGGGAGAGTGCACAGCGCGGGGGGAGGGGCGGAGGGACAGAGGGAGAGGGAGAAGCAGGCTCCCTGCTAGGCCGTGAGCCCAATGCTGGGCTTGATCCCAGGACCCCAGGATCATGACCTGAGCTGAAGGCAAATGCTTAACTGACTGAGCCACCCAGGAGCTCCTAAATTTGAATTTCACATAAACAAAGAATATATTTTTTTAGTATATATATGTCCCAAATACTGTATGGGGCATACTTAGACTAAAAATTTGTTGTTTATCTGAAATTCAAATTTAACTGGGTGTCCTGTATTTTATTTGGCAATCATAATTAGGTGAAAAAGAAAGATCTAGAGTCTGGGAGTTCTCCTGAGGTCAAAGGACAAGGGCATGGTATAGAGGAGTGAGGACCCTGAATATTAAAACATTGTAGTTTAGGATTTCAGAGATGGAAGGGTGATGAAAAGGATCAAGGAAGGTCCACTGGGATTTGTGACTGAAATGGAATGGAAATGCAAGTCCAAGAAGAAACAGAGGCAAGAATATTTGATGGCTCATTAGCATGGACACTGAGGTCAGTTAAAATGTTGGCTGAAGGGCAGAGGGGATGAACATGAGCAAAATATCAAAGTCTTCATTAAGTGTGGCAAAATCACCAGCAAGTCAGTGGAGGATGGTACAGTCATAACACAGAAATTTGATAGAAGGGAGGGCTTTTGGCATGATATTGAAAGAGTAATAATAACTTGAAATTCTGTGATGCAGAATTGGGGAAGTGATCCCCAGCTCAGAGAGAAGGAACAACTTTCAAATGTACAGACTACACAGGTAGGAGGGAACTTGGAAAGTGTCAGCATTTATGAGCTCTCAGAAGACACTGTGAGGCACAGTATCACACAGAAGTGTGCAAAGTGAGAGTCTGAAACTCAGAGTTTCAAACAAGATGGAGAAGCAAGATATATGGTAGTATGTTTTCAATAGAGCTGTTGCTATAGAGAAGGGAATGAAAAGGGATGGGAGAGATTATCAGTGAGCTGACAACAACCACCGAAAGCGAAAGAAATGGGGATAAAGAGAACAGGTACAAACAAAGTAAGAATCTAGTCTTGATGGAGAAGAAAAGGTAGGCTTTTCCAAACAACTGAGACTTGGCTTGAGCTGAGATCCAAAAGATGTGCTTTCTCATAGGCACCTCAGGTTCATCAGGTCCAAGGTCAAGGAGTAGCCCAAACTTGTCACGCTTCCAATGTTTCCTAGTGCAGTGAATGTTACGACTGTCCATCAAGTCACGCAGGTTAGAAATACAGGAGGTATTCATGGTAGCTTACTCCACTGTGCTCACTATCCAAACCATCATATAAGCATCAGGTAAAGAGAAAACCATTCCAGGCAGTGGAAAGGACATATGCAGTATTTTTTTTTTTTACGATTTTATTTATTTATTTGACAGAGAGACAGGAAAGCACAAGTAGGCAGAGCGGCAGGCAGAGGGAGCGGGAGAAGCAGGCTCTCCCCTGAGCAGGGAGTCTGATGCAGGGCTCAATCCCGGGAGCCTGGGATCATGACCTGAGCCCAAGGCAGATGCTTAACCGACTGAGCCACCCAGGTGCCCCAACATATGCAATATTCTTATGTTGAAAGATAGCATGGTGCAATCTAGACACTAAAGAGCTTTCACCTTGATACAGAAGAAGAAGGGACTAGTTCATGATGGGTCACATTAAGGATTTGTTCTTTATCCTAAAAGCAACGGAAGCCATTGGCAACCCGCCGCGGGCAGGTCTGAAGCAAGGAAAGTGATATGATCAAATTTAGGTTTTAAAAATAGCATTCTGGGTAGAATGGAGAGCAGACTTGAGAAAACAAGAATATAAAGAGATGACAAAAAAGGCCAGGATAGTCATCCTGGTGAGAAGGGATAGTACTTTGGATAGCGTGCCAACAATGGGCATGGAGAAAAGTGGATGGTTTTAGTGGTAGCAGAGATGAAGCCAACAGGAAATTGGTGATAGTGGTGGGAGTTCTCTCCTACTTCACTGTTATGAGGATTGATCTAGTTGAAAGGAGATGGCTGATTACACAGGAGAGAAAACAGATAACTGAGCACTGATAACAGATAACTGAATTGCCCTTAGACCTGGAATGATCCTCCTATTGCAAAGAGCAAGAAGTCCATGAGATCAAGGGGCCATGTCTGCCTAGATCAGACAGCAGACAGAGCTGCTGATTACACATCACTATCTGCATGAAGGGATGCAGACATAAGCTTACACATGTTAGGTGCACGCATGCATGGTCCCTTCTGGTGTGGTGGGTGAAGAAGCTGGGAATGGGAGGAGAACAGGATCTGGCGGAGAACACTAGAAGTCTGAAAATTATAAAATTTAAACCTGGCCTTCCAGATCATTATTTCAGTCAAGGTGGTAGAGTAGAATACATTTTTTATTTTTATTTTTTTTAAGATTTATTTTTTTATGTAATCTCTACACCCAGCGTGGGACTCAAACTCACAACCTTGAGATCAAGAGTCACATGCTCCACTGACTGAGCCAGCCAGGTGTCCCGGAATACATTTTTTATAATAGTTTGTTATCTTGATTTATAACTTAAATATTTAGACACATAGTATGTGAGCCTCCAAGCCATACTCTTGCCCAGGCTCTGCAAATGTGGGGTTAGGACTGATAAGAGTGTATAACAGTATAAAAGACTATAGTGCAAGCAGAAACAAATTCATGAGAGTGAGAGTTCACTTTAGCTGGGCCAAATCGGATTTTCCAGACTTCTACGCGGGAGATGAGAAAATAAATGGTGCAAGTTTCCAGGTACTATATTAACAAATATGAGTAACATTTATGTATCTGGAGGGTCAACAATTAAGAGGCTATTTTAATTGTAATGGTTTCAGTGTGATTTTGAAAAGATTCTTGAATATGGCAGAAGTTAAGAGCATGTAAGAGACTTTAGTGATCATGTAACTGAATTCATTCAAATAAAACAGAGGTTCTGACAGATGAAACATTGTGACTGAGGTTACAAAGCTAGCTAGTTATTACCCAGTGATTTCCAGCCCCATCCTCTGTCCACTCTTCCAACAATGCTACTTTTCATGAAGACACATGCTGACAGTCAATTCCAACCACAAAGTTTTAACTTTCTTTCATCGTTTAAGGTATTAAAGGAAGTAAATACTTTCATTACTTTAAAAATTTGAGGCACCTAAAAAAAGGTCCATTATTAAATTTTGACTCCCAAATATTCTAAACAAACAAAAAAGGGAAAACAAAATAAGAAATTCCAACTTCGTGAGGTCACAAGAACCGGTAATGCTGGAAAGTTACTTTTTTTTTTTTTTAAGATTTTATTTATTTATTTGACACACAGAGAGAGGGAGAGCGCACAAGTAGGCAGAGCTGCGCAGGCAGAGGGAGAGGAGAAGCAGGCTCCCCGCTGAGCAGGGAGCCTGACGTGGGGCTCGATCCCGGAACCATGGGATCATGGGATCATGACCTGAGCCAAAGGCAGTCGCTTAATGACTGAGCCACCCAGGAGCCCCTGGAAAGTTACTTCTGTTTTCTAAAAAGTTACAGGTAATATAGGGCTCCTTTTAGGACTTAGAATATTCTCGGACTGCTCATTTCCTGTTTTGACTACTTTTATTTTTACATCTATTCCTTTGACTTGTTAATCTTATGTGAGAACTGAGTTGAATTAAAATCTTGCTCCTCGCTTTGGATGCAGCCGTGTTACTGTAACCCATCTCCCCTAATTCCTTTTTTTAAGCTAGAAATCAAAATACACATTCATAAAGCACTGAACACTCAGGGTGCTAACCGCTATTTTACACCTAAAAAAATCCTTGCTTTTCAAACATCAATAAATATAGCTAATGGATTTTTCTTAGCAAGCCTCAGTTATAAATAATTGCAATAAAATTAAGACCTTTAAGAGTGTATCACTAAAGTTGAAAAGAAAAATTATCCAGGGAGTCTTACCTTCAAGCTCGGAAGTAATCCGAAAGTTCTGGCTTTGCACGAAGTTACCTCCCTTAAAGCATTAAGAGTTGACGATCTTAGCAACAGTAACAAATCTTGTCAGGACACCAAGTGAGTTTTAGTCCCTCCCATCCAACGACTGCTGCCTAACAGAAGGAAGGACTGAATTCCGCACAAAATTTTCTTCTCTGAGCTAAGCATCAGCGAAATTCGGCTTTCTGAGCGCGAAGACACGGGGAGGGACCAAAAGGACCCCAGGGGATAAAGGGAAGAGAAAGTGACACATGACAGAGTTGAAGCCGAGACGAGCGCGCCTGGGCGGGGGCAGAGTTGAGGGTCCGGAGTTGGGGATTCATTCCGGACACTCACCGGGCACCAGGGTTCACGCTGGCGACAAGTGGAAGACCCTCCCCTCACAGTTCGCTCCACCACTAGCAGCGTCCCGCGGAGCTTTGACCTCCAAAACTGGTCCGCTTGGCGATACCGCCTCTTCGGCTCCAGATTGACGCCTTTGGTTGGTTCCCAGAGGGATCCTTCAGCATGGCTCGTCCAATGGAGGGCTCTGCCGAGGGCCCGGCCGCGCCACTCCTCCTCCGCCCCTCCCCCGCCCCTCGCTGAGGGCCCGCCCCTGCCCCGCGCCCGGGAGCGGAGGAGAGTAAATACAACAGGAGCGCAAAATGGCGGAACCGCCGAGCCCAGTGCACAGCGGCGCCGCCGCCGCCGCCGCCGCCGTCTCGGAGAAAGAACCGTTTGGCAAATTGCAGCCCCCCTTCCGGGACCCACCGGGTCCTCTGTCGGCCAAGAAGGTCCGGACTGAGGAGAAGAAGGCGCCGCGGAGACTGAACGGAGAGGGGGGCAGCGGCGGGAACAGCAGGCAGCTGCAGCCGCTGGCGGCACCTTCGCCTCAGAGCTATGGCAGCCCCGCGTCTTGGAGCATTCCCGGTCTGTCTGCTGCCCCGTCCCCGTCCTCTGCTCGGAGCAGTTTCTCTTTTTCCGCTGGCTCCGCGGTCCCTTCCTCAGCCTCCGCTTCCTCGTCTCAGCCGGTGCCGCGCAAACTGCTGGTCCCTCCTACGCTGCTGCACGCTCAGCCTCACCATCTCTTGCTGCCCGCCGCCGCCGCCTCCTCGGCCAACGCCAAGCCTCGCCGACCTAAGGAGAAGCGAGAGAAGGAAAGGAGGAGGCACGGCCTCGGCGGGGCAGGCGAGGCCGGCGGGGCCGCCCGGGAGGAAAACGGGGAGGTGAAGCCGCTGCCGCGAGGTGGGTGCCGACGCTGGGAGGGGGAGGGGAGGGCGCCCCGGGTCCCCGCCACCTCTTCGCGCCCGCGGGGCCCGGGCAGGGGGAGCGCGGGGGCCGCGGGCGCCAGCCTGGAGGGGGCGGGAGGCGTCCCGTTCTCAGCAGGCGACTTTGCAGTCCCCTTGGGGACAGGAAATGGAGCCTGTAATTTCGGTTGCAGCGAGGGGAATGGCCGAAACTCTTATTTTTTATATTGTTTCTATCTCCCAATTAATGCACTGCAAGATTTGTAGAATTCGGTCTAGAGTACCCGCCTAGGTGTGCTGGGCTGCGGAGGGAGATGGGAGGGAATGGGATCGCGAAGGGTTTGGTCTTGTAAAAGGTGCTTGATTCATTATTAAGACCGTTTAGACGTGATCACAGAATTCGTTATTTGTGACACAGACTCCAACGCCAGAAAATCCTGTCAAAAAAAGGGGTGTGGAGAGCATTGGCGTCAGCTGGAAGCCACCAGAGGCCTGAGCTTTTCATCCCTATTAGGGAAATGAGGTAGTGTGCAGGGCCCGAAGTGTGCTGTTTCATAAGGTATCCTCCCTGCACCCTCCGCACAGCTCAGTATTCTCAAGTGTTTCGAGTGGTCCTATTTGGAATACCACCACCCTTCAGAAAGAATTTTCAGCCATATTCTTTTTTCCTGCAGCAAATGCTAAAATCAGGAGCGTTGACGTTTTTTTGCCGGATCAAGTGACTGCCAAATGTTTTAGTATCAGAAAATGACAAATTCATAAGGGTCCTTTTCAGACAGGCCTAAGGCAATTTTCTTTTAAAAGGTAGGCTAGCCGTATAATTTTCAGAAAGTATTTATTTGAAATAGATGGACCTGCTTATTTATTGATATACAATTGATGGTGGTACAACATGGAGAGTGGTTGAAAATTAGATATTTATGTGATCAAAAGCCTAAAGCACATAGTGACCTTTATTATAAATGTACATTGAGAATGTATTGTGAAGGTATTTTTGTTTTTTAGGAAAAATGACATGTCAAGCAGTTTTAGTATTGCTGGTCTAATTGTAGCTTAAATCATGAATAATTCTCTATATGTTTGAATTAGAATGGCTGTTTTCACAGTTTTTTAAAATGCTGCACAGGAGTATGTAGTAGCAGGGTTACTTCTTCCCTGCTGTTTTGCCTGTAGAAAAGCTTGGACAACTAAGCATAGCCATCAGGTACTCTGGCACAAGGTAAAGTTCTCTCCGTTTTGGAGAGTGTTGCTTCTAGGAAAATGGTTTTGAGGATGGAACTTATATGACCTTTAGTCTGGAATTTTAGGTGGTTAGTATTTTAAAGCTATTTTGTTTTAATGCTTACCTTTAAAAGTAAAAAGTGCTTGAAAGTCTGTGCATTTGCAGCTTGGTATTAGTCTTATTTGTGATGTGTAGTGTATTCTAAGTTCCTTGAGGAAGTGAATGTGGGGTATAACATTGTCAGGGTATTGGAATGGCTGAAAATAAATAAGCATTCTTTCCCAAGTCTAACTTAAAATATGGAGCATAAAAATGGCTCTTACTGTGAAATGGCTGTTAAAGAGAAATTTCTCCAGTTTTTTAAATTACCTTTAGAATCCTTCTTTCAAAGGCTACAGATTATCTTATGAAGCCTTAATATGAGGAATGGTAGCTTCTACATTAGGATGTGGGGAGCATGTTTTTCCATGACCTCTGTAGGGTTTTTTCCTTCGGAGTGACTAAATATGAACACCATTGTAAGATTTTCATTTTTTTGAGAGAAATGCTGCTATTTTACTGAAGAAAATCTAAAAATCAATGAGGATTTTTTTCAGTGTCTTAATGATTAATGGTGAAAATTTTAAGAAGTATTACCCTTCTAAAGTTCAGTTTTAACTAAATTGAAGTTCTGTTTTAATCAATTAAGAAAATTCCTCAGCAAGTGTTATTAAAGTAGAAAATTATATACATTCAATATAAACATAATTATAAATATGAAAATTCTAACTTGTAATACAGTCTATTTCTCTGGGCTTTATGTAAGAGCCTTAGTGAGTGGTTGGGGCATCTGGCTGCCTCAGTCACTGTAGCATGCATCTCTTGATCGCAGGTCAGTGAGTTCGAGCCTGACCTTGGGCTTAACCTTATCTTAAAGAAAAAAAAAATCCTAGTGGATATGTCTGTTTTTTTAAATATATAACTCTTTCTAATTTTGCTCTAAGTTGGATAGTTCATGGATAGCACAGAGGATAGGTCAGTGACCCCATTTATTCCCATAGTTGGCTGATTGAACAAGCTGAATCAGAACAGGAAGTGAGCTATAAAGACACCTAAGCAAAGAAAATAGATCCTTCCCTCAAAAGGCAAACATACATCCAAAAAATCTAGCTCCCAACTCCATTAACCGGTTGAGTTCCTGTATGGTAGTAGGTTTTTTTTTTTTTAAGTCTTTAGTGAGAACTGCTAAATTTTTACATTGGCTACCGTCCTAACAGGAATTACTTGTATTAAATGAAACTGTGTATGAAAAGGCTTGGCAAGCCATTTAGTAAATGTTATTTGAGTCAGAAACATGATGATTTGTTTTTTAACCTTATAACAATTAAAAAGTGGATCAGTCCAGATAGAGTAAGGATCATTGACAGATTTGAAAGTTAAGAGTGATAAAACAACAGAATCACAAAAGCGTAGCAGTCTAAGTCCATTTAGCATAAGGGTTGGTGCCTTACACACCAAAAACCTGTGAGGTCATCTAGTCATAGTGCGGTAGCTGACTTCCATGATAGCCTGACTCATCGTGTAAAAGTTAAATTTATTTCTTATAAAAAGAAAATGTGAAAAACGTTTTAGATTTTTAAAACTGGAAAATAACCAGATTTAGTGGTTAGAGAGGTAATCTACTAAAGAGTTCACAGCCCATTTTCCTGTAAGATTGAATAAATTTTTGAATTGGTAAATGTGGAAGGTAAGAGTAGACATGTACTGAAGGTATCCAACATTTAGAATTATGTTATAGCAAACAGAACAAACAAATGATTGGATAACAGAGTGCCTTAACGATGGCAGTAACTAATAAAACTTGTATAGCTCTTCTCATTTTTGTTAGTGTTTTTGCTTTGCACTTATTAACTTATTTTTTTCCTTAGAATGATCCTGTTAAGTATCCCAAGATAAAACCAGAGCATTTCACAGAATGTTTGCCTTGAAAGTATAGTTACAGAATTTAATAATGAAAATAAGAGGCTTTTTTTTAGAATTGAATAATAATTATTTTTGTTTCTGTTTTAATTCCAGTTAGTATACGGTGTTATATTCATTTCAGGTGTACAATACAGTGATACAACAATTCCATACATCACCAGGTGCTCATCACAAGTGCATTCCTTAATCCCCATCACCTATTTAACCCATTCCCCCACCCGCTAGGTGCCATTGGTTTGTTCTCTATAGTTAGAGTCTGTTAGAAGCGAATAATTTAAGGTATGTAAATGTCAGTGATTTAAAGGGATAGATGTTGGAGGATTTTTCCACAAACTAGACTCTTCCCTATCTTTCTAATGTTAATTCCACAATTTTCGGTTAAATTCATATTCAGAGGTTTCATCATTATGACCAAGTATTTGTCACTGCTGAAATAGTTTACTATGATTTCATTTTCTTGTGTAACCTTTTGTTTTTCATGCCTAGTTTTTTCATGTGCTTAGTTTGGTCTGGCAAAGTCTTTCTGTACCCTCCAGCAGCTCCATAAAATGCTTCTCGGTACAATTTTCCACATGATCAAATCTGTCAGATAAACTTATCAGTTCTATTTGTTCCTGTAGTCATCTCTTCTGTAGCTGTCTTTCTTCCTGCTTTAGTCTGGATTGTTTTCTCTTTAGGCCTGCTGCAAAGCTGTCATCTGGGACTTCCCTTAGCTGACATTCTGAGAATTTCTTTCACTTTCGCTGAGTCCCTGTTTTCTGGACCCTATGCCTTCCTTTGGTTTATTCCTTCATTTTGGTTTCCTCTACTATTACTGTGAAAGTGTGCATTGGAAATTTTTTTTTTTAATTTATTTTTACCCTCATGCTAGACTGTTTGGCTGTTGAGAGATTTCTATATTGGAAATCATTTTCCCTCAAAAGTTTGGAGGTGTTCCCATATTGCCTGGCTTCCAGTGTTGATGTTGAGAAATTTGATCTCCAAAAAAATTGTCTTTTTTCCACAATCTGGGAAATTTCAACCCTTTTATTGAATTTTTAAATTTTAGCTCTCTTTTAAAACAATTATTTTATGAGCTCTTGTTCTTAGTTCCTGTATTGTAGCATCTTGTTCTTTTTTCATGGGTGCAGCATCTTCTGTTACCTCTTCAAGGATATTAATTATAGTTTCTTTGTTTCTTGCATTGTTTTTGGTTCTTCTAAAACTTTTTTTTTTGTCATTGATTTTGGTCTTGTTGGAGGCTTTCTTCAGATTTGTGTGATCCTTAGCAGTTCCTTCATATTCAAGGAATGTTCAAAACTGATTGAAAGCTCACTGGGCATGCACGAGCATGGCTTAGTGACTAGTAAACTCCCATGTTTTACCTTTTTTAAAAATTTTTTTTTTTAAGATTTTATTTATTCATGAGAGACAGACAGAGAGAGAGGCAGAGGGAGAAGCAGGCTCCCAAGGAGCAGGGAGCCCAATGCGGGACTCGATCCCAGGACCCTGGGATCATGACCTGAGCCAAAGGCAGATGCTTAACCATCTGAGCCACCCAGGCACCCTTTTTTTTTTAAGTTTTATTTTTAAGTAATCTCTGTACCCGACGTGAGGCTCGAACTTACAACCCCGAGATCAAGAATCGCATGTTGTACCGACTGAGCCAGCCGGTACTTATCTTTACTTCTTTTCTCTGGGTAGTGGGTAAGAGGGTTTTCAGTTTCTTCAGATAAAGGTCCTTCATTTTTCTGTCTGTCTGTGTAACTGGAATAATGGAGAGGAGGGAATTGGCAGACGTAATGAGTTTAGATGGCGGGGCTGTAGTGCTTGGT